TTTTTTTGCAAGAGTTTTGTCTAATAGACCAGGAGTGTGTTATAAAGAGTATAAGGTAGTATAGGGGTAGCCATTTTTAGCTCTGTAACTCAGCAACATCTGCTGTTCCATCCTGCATCCATTCCTGATTACTATAGAACAGGCATTGACACAGACATCCACTTGTGTCCATTTTTACTTGCAACAGGAACTATGGAGTTGGCTAGTCCCTCATTTCAAACTGGTCCTCATGGCGGCAGTAGGAAACATTTCTTAATCACGGCAATTCATGACATCATCAGACTGACTCCGTGGAGCTAGACTTACAATGTAAAGTACTGTGAACAATTGGCTTGAGACTGCATGGTTTCTGGGAGCATTTTTAAATTTAAATGTTCCTTTAATCTGGTCAGTTTAGCTTTATACTTCTGTCTTCTGTTCCTTCCTATTTGTTGCTCATATTTATATGCTGACACTGGTGTTTCTATTTTGTTCTTGCTTTGGTAGATGTTACAGTTACTAATACATTCTGAAGGACTAGTAAAATATCTTTATATCCTGTATGTTACTTTTTATCCCAGGGAGGGCTGTTTTCTAATTTTGGATAGGGCTTGACACTAATCCCCAAAATAGAAGAAGCAAAAGGATAAGAACTGTAAAAGGATAATACCTGTAATTAACTTTAAGAAATCACATTTTCAATCCATATTTATCTCTCTCTCTCTCTCTCTCTCTCTCTCTCTTTCTCGTGCGTGTTTTGGAGCTTTAATTAGTGGTAGTACTACATAGAAGGACATTTCTATTTTTAGCTGAAGCAGTTCTTGTTAATTGATTAGTTTAAAGCATGGTGGCCCTTAAGGCCACACATCTGTCAGAGACTGAGTATTTCTCTAATTAAAAAACAGTCAGTCCACATTGTAATATGTTGCAGTCTGATTGCCCTGAAAACCTTTGCGGTCCACCAAAATCTACCAGAATCAAGAAAGTTATAAGCACATAAATACATTCCCTATATATAGCAATTATATAGAAACATAGAAACATAGAATGTGATGGCAGATAATAACCATTCGGACCACCATTTCTAAATACTTTCATTAGTCCCTAGCCTTATCTTATAGTTAGGATAGCCTTATGCCTATCCTACGCATGCTTAAACTCCTTTACTGTGTTAACCTCTACCACTTCAGCTGGAAGGCTTTTCCATGTATCCACTACCCTCTCAATAAAGTAATACTTTCTGATATTATTTTTAAACATTTGCCCCTCTAATTTAAGACTATGTCCTCTTGTTGTGGTAGTTTTTCTTCTTTTAAATATAGTCTCCTCCTTTACTGTGTTGATTCCCTTTATGTATTTAAATGTTTCTATCATATCCCCCTGTCTCGTCTTTCCTCCAAGCTATACATGTTAAGATCCTTTAACCTTTCCTGGTAAGTTTTATCCTGCAATCCATGAACCAGTTTAGTATCCCTTCTCTGAACCCTCTCTAAGGTATCAATATCCTTCTGAAGATACGGTCTCCACTTGCGTACAATACTCCAAGTGAGGTCTCACCAGTGCTCTGTACAATGGCATGAGCACTTCCCTCTTTCTACTGCTAATACCTCTCCCTATGCAACCAAGCATTCTGCTAGCATTTCCTGCTGCTCTATTACATTGTCTGCCTACCTTTAAGTCGTTAGAAATAATCACCCCTAAATCCCTTTCCTCAGATGTTGAGGTAAGGATTCTATCAAACATTCTGTACTCTGCCCTATCTTGCACTTATCCACATTAAATGTCAGTTGCCACAACTCTGACCATTTTTCTAGTTTACCTAAATCATTTGCCATTTGGCTTATCCCTCCTGGAACATCAACCCTGTTACATATCTTTGTATCATCATCAAAAACACATACCTTACCATCAAGACCTTCTGCAATATCACTAATAAAAATATTAAAGAGAATGGGTCCAAGTACAGATCCCTGAGGTACCCCACTGGTGACAAGTCCAAGCTTCGAATATATTCCATTGACTACAACCCTCTGTTGCCTGTCACTCAGCAACTGCCTTACCCATTCAACAATATTGGAATCCAAACTTAAAGATTGCAGTTTATTGATAAGCCTGCTATGTGCAACAGTGTCAAAAGCCTTACTGAAATCTAGGTAAGCAATGTCTACTGCACCACCCTGATCTATTATTTTAGTCACCCAACCAAAAAAATCAATAAGATTAGTTTGGCATGATCTCCCTGAAGTAAACCCATGTTGTCTCTGATCTTGAAATCCATGTATTTTTAGATGTTCAACAATCTTATCCTTTAACATGGTTTCCATTACTGTCCCCACTACTGAAGTAAGGCTTACTGGCCTATATATGCACTATATACACTAAATATGCAATATTAATACCCACAGATTCAACGTAGTTATACATAATTTTATTTGTTTTCTAGTGTAACGTGCTCCCCTTCATTTTGAAGTATGCTATGTATGCACTTTCTTTGCCGTCCTGATTTGGATCAAAGAAAACTTTGATAATTTGTCTATCTACACCTTCCAAATTGATTGATTAATGCGTGCACGCTTTCCCTAGAAGTAATTCACACCGGAGACAAAGTTTCTGATCAGTGAAAAACTCAGGAATCCTTTATTCCCCGGAGTGGGGGCTCCTTCTTAAAGCAAAAATACGTCACAGTTTAAACATACAGTATACATTCACCAATTGGTTAACAGAGAAAGGGGGCTCTTGTTTAAACCTCCCTACAGAATGTAGTGTCATCATTACAGACTTTTGGATACACGATGGGAGGGGGAGTGAGTGGTATCTATCAGTTCTAAACCAATGATCCTCCATTTAGCTATACGTGGCATATAGCTGTTTAACTGGCACAAAGGTAGTGGGGGAGGAGTTAGTAAAGGGAGCTGTTAACACAGGAATTTTGTTTACACAAGGTTTGCTTGATTTGAAGGGGGATGCTTATCAGGATGAAGAATTTACATAGTAAACAGCAACTGAACACATTGTAGGGGGCGAAGGGAATATTTACTCTAGCAGCCAGTTTTAACATAGTGAACACAGAATAAATAGACATTAGTAAATAGCCATTTTATTTTAATTCATCTGTCCATAACAGTCCCCCCTTAAAATGGCAATTTTTACTAAAACTACTATCTCTCATTCTAATACTGTCCCTATAGAAAAATAACAAAAGGCTATCTTGCACATCTGTCTGAACAGGCCTCGAACACTTCACTGCGCGGGTACCCCATAGCAGCTTGTCCACTACTTCTCCCGCGGCAGACTTCTGCCCGTAGAGACAGACGCTATCCCTAAATGTCCTTAAGAGGAAGTAGCGGTTGATTTAGTGCGGTGGGACTGTAAGGGTGTATGTGGTGTATCACGGTCGATATCGTCAATCTCTTGGTGAAGGAAGGTCGGGGTGGTCTGGTCGATTGTCTGATCAACTGTCTTTTGTAGGCATTTCTTAAGACAGGGTAACACACAACAAACAAGAAGAGCGAGGATGATTATCGTTATTAAAATGGCAACACCAATTTGGGCCAGAGCACCTTGCCATCCAGTCATCCATCCAAACCATCTTTCCCATGGATCTGCGGCCCCAGAATTTCGTTTCAGCTCATTGGACAAACTCTTTAACTTTTCTATTGCCAACGTTACCTTACCATTAGGGCCTGTATTGTCTGGAATATAGGTACAGCATGTTATGGTGTCTGGGAGTATTTTACATACTCTCCCTTTTTCTGCCAAAATCATTTTAAAGCTTATTCTATTCTGGAAGGTCATCTGAGAGGTAGCTTGTAACCGCCCTATCCCACCATATATCCCATAACAAGTATAGTTCCCAGGATATATAGTAATGCCTTCGTTTGGGCATAATATTTTTAGTAATGATTGGGTATTAAGTTTCCATGACTCGCATGCTGACCGCTTAGGTTTAAATACAGTGTAGAGACTTAAAACGCATACTTCATATCCGGAGGAAGGTTCAGGGATACTGTACCTGGGTGAGGCCTCGCTCCTCTGCAGACATAGCAGTTAGACTTGTTATGTTTAGTAGCATTGTATTTCATCCATTCAAGTCACAAGTTAGTGTCAGAGAAACCTGCCTCAAATATGGGATGACTACCATGTCTTTTAAAGTCCTAATGTGTGGTTTGAGGGGATTAACAGTCATGTGCGTGGCACCTACCCATTCAGCTGAGTCATACATGTCCTGTAAGAAAAAGGTCTCCTGTTTATTGTATAAACCTCTTCCCTTCCAATTCAGATTTTATTAGCCGTAATGCTTGGGAGAATAGATTCAAACTTAGTTTCTTACCTTAAAATCATTTGGTACCCCCCTTGACACCCCTATGGCATTAATATACATATATATGTGTGGGTAAAACCACCCTTTATAGGGGTACTCCTTTTTGTCCTGAAGCATGAATGAGGTGTGTCAAGAGTACCTTGGGGATTGTCATGTGTTATGTGTATGGACATAATAACCTAGGCTAGGGCACATTTACTTATTCTTAGAAATCTTGTCTCATGCTACCCTAGTACTGGCAGATTCAGATCATTTAAACATTCAATATTAATATCACCACAAACTCAAGATAAGCAGATGATCCTGAAGAAGCTTTGACTGTGCGTATGGCACCTCAGACATGAGGGCTGCAGGGTAAGGAGTATGTTTGTTTCTCTTTAGTTTCACGAGGTCCCCTTTTGGGGTATTCGACTTTCCATCGATGGCAGGTGGTCAGGCATTATTATGGCCATCAAAACACCCACTTGTTGATATTTATTTATTTATTTATTTTCAACAAGTATCTTTGTTCTCTAAGAATGGAGTTTCAAAAAGGGTTGTCAAGATCAACAAATGCTACTTCACATAATGCAGAGGCAGGCTTGATTCTGGAATGATGAATCCACGGGGTGATCTCTGTAACTTTCACAGTGCACTACTCAGCATGTGGTCTTGGTTATCACTTTGGTGGCTGGATAGGCCTCTGGCCATCCTGAAAACATGTCTGCTATAATTAGTGCATAGTTGAATCAGCCATTCTTTGGCATTCTGGATGTAGTCGACTTGACTCCTCTGGAAGAGATAATGAGGTTTGGCTAGATGCTTTGGCTCCATTCTTCCTGAGTTGCCCTTGGCACAAATGGCACAAGATTTACAGTAACTGTTGGTCAGAGAGGCAATTCCTGATACTTCAGAGTATTTATTGATCAAAAGAGTTCATGAGGGTTCTGGACAGATGCTCCGTAGGCCCACTGGACCACTGCTGAGTATATGTTCTTGGGCAAGTAGAACTTGAGATTGTTGAAGTACAGCCTGTCTTTAAGAGTTGCCCCTTTCTGTTTCCAGCTTGTGGTTTGTTTGTTTTTTCTTTCTTTCCAGGGTCAGTAGCTTGAGGTCTGTGGGTAGGATCTTACATGGTGATTATGGGAGTTTCTTCAGTAGACACTTTTCTGTCCACTTTCCTTAGTGCACTTACAACTTATTGAACAACTTAGTCAGCCAGAGAGTTGCCACATGCTTTCTCCGAGATCAGTCTTCCTTCAGAGATCTTGCATGCTGTGATGGGAGCCTATAGCTCAACTTCTTGTGCAGACATTGTTGAGGTGAGATACCTGGTCCACTGTAGTGACAGCAAATCCGGAAAAGATCATAAGAAAAATGCTAAAAAAAAATAATAGTCAGTGTCTTATCATTTCCCCCCTTGGGAAGTGGCAGAAGAGTGGCCAGGTAAATAGAGTATCATCCCTGCAGGGTGACATTATCCTGCACAGAATTCGTCCATCACAAGGAGAGGTGGGATATTGCATGGAAAGTCTCAGGTAACCAGGGCAACATTTGACACCAGAGCCTTAACCTGTTAGGGAATAGTAAGAGCTTGGACAGGCTTTGGGGCCTGTATAATTCAGGTAAAGGTATTGGGGGAACTAGCTAGGACCCTTGCCTCTTGGTCAGGTTTCACTGTGTGGAACAAAATAAATAATAAGGTGATAGGGGCCTTCAAGTGGGGGAAGGACATCTGCACCTAGCAGATTAATTGGACAGGTGAAAGTAACCACAAAGCAAGGCTTAGTTAACAGGCTACTCCAAAGAGAGCCATCTACACTTATGCAGGAGACAACAATGTTAGACAGGAATGAGGAGTCAGGCAGGCCTTGCTTGGTACAAATAGATGTCATGTGGCCTGCTATACAAGGCTGCATATAGTTGTTGGGCATGGGCCTTACTATGTACTAAAACTTAAGTTAAAAGAAAATTTGGGACAACCTGAAGTGATACTTCTCCACAGATGCTAACTCATCGTTGATCACATTGTTAATACAGGTAGCCTGATCAGCCAATTTATCTTAGGCTTAAACAAGTCACACCATGTAGTGGAATTGGTCATTAGGATTCGGGAAATTCTACAGTAAAAGGGCATAGTAAGGATGTACGCGATGTTACTTTAGGAGTAGGCGTAGCTGTGGATAGGGGTAAATCAGCCTTATCCATTCCCATATATTATTCCTTTTGTCTTCAGTATATCCAAACCATGTGTATGTCCAGGCGTTGCAATATACAGTAATCCATTATCAGTCATGATATTAAAATCTCATTCTCATGAATTAAATCAAAGATTTTAAATCAACCTCAGAAGCAACAAAGAATAAATCTATTGTTTTTTCTTCTGTAAAATGATTGGAGTTACTATATAATTGCATACACCCAACATAACATTGCATGTTCCTCACTGCTACATTAGTGTATCTCATTCTGCCATATGTGCAAACTTGATTTAAATTTTTATTTTAATTAACCTAATACTTTCTTATAACACATATAAAAACAATGAAAGACAGTACAGACTAACAATTCATTTAAAACAATAAACTGACATAGATCTCTATTCTTGTGCTGTTCTTAATTCTGGAATCAGCTTGTGTACATCTGTTGGCAGACATATCCATGCTCATTCCCTAAACTGATCATATCTCTTGAAGTTATC